GAGTAGGCTATTGACATGGAGCTGAGTTCACTTATTGTTTTTTAAGAATTTTATTTAAAACCAGCACAAAGCAATATTGTGAACAGATGTTTACTATCACAAAGAATTACAGCAGGCTCTCATGCATGATGTTTTCTAAAGATTTGTTATTATGTAAATAAAAGGAGTCTGTTGTTGGCACCCAACCCTCATAGGTTCATCAGGGTGTCCAGGCTTCTGTCTCTTGGTGCGGAGTAGCTGCTTTGCAAAACTCTCCTTAATGATGGGGTTTGCATCTAAGGATCATGACAAGTAAAACGATGACAATGTATCAAGATCACCATTTCATATTGTAATTTCATGGAAATGACAATATGATTTATTCATGTGAATACATTTAACTGATTCATTTTTCTAAATAACTAAGGGGTTACCGTAAAAAAATGTCAACAGTTTATTCATTATGTAGCCTATATTTTTATGTAAACAAATGCGATTATCAAAGACTTTAATTTGTGCCATTTAATATTACCCATTTTTCTTTCTTTCTTTCTTTCTTTCTTTCTTTCTTTCTATTACTAGCTGCATACTAATTTTATTTTCTCCATTCTTCCCCAGGCGGCCATTCTGTCCTCTGAACCTTTATTCTTTCAGATTTCCCCGAGTCCTTTGGGGGTCTAATTTGTATGAATTTTGGCCTTTCTCTTTCCCTCTTTCTTAATCTCTCTCCCTCTTTTTTCTCTCTTTCACACAGACACGCACGCACGCACACACATACACTTCACTCATTTTCTCTCCTGCCTCCCCATTTCAACCCCTCCCTCCGTTTCCCAGCGCTGTTTGTCTATGGAAGAACACAAAGTGCCCATTCATGAGCGCGTCTCCCCGGGGAGCGCGCCCCTGCGCACGCGTGACCTGGAGCCCTGACCCGCGAGGGGTATGAAAATGAGCCCGTTACGGTAAACACCGACGTGGCAGACAAACAGCCGAGCAGCGTTTTTCGTTACAAATTAGATAAGATCCTTAAATGTATATGGGGTGGGGATGGTGGGTGAAATCATCACATAATTTGTGTTCAGGTAACATTTTCAGCAGCTAAAACAAGAATAGAAATATATAGATGTGATGGGATATGAATATAGGCTATAAAAACCAACATACAAATAAAATGAAAACGTCAAAAAGCAATAATAATATAAAAATAATAATAACAACGCCAATTTTGAGTTTGCTATTCCAATAGGCTGACATTACAAATCGTTTAGCAAGTGAGGGGGATAAAAACAATGAAAAAATAATAGGTAAGCGTAAGCATAATTAAAATAATCTCACAGAAATATACACCCATTTCTGTCTTAACTATAGAACTGCAAGAAGGCCGAAAAGAAAATAGAGATTTATTTCAAAAGTCATTGTCCAAATGTTCCAAAACGCTCTGATTTCGCATGAAAATAAGACTAGTTAAACAGGTAATATGCACACAAACGTCACAACCCACAGTGATAAGAACAATAAAAACACAGTATATGCTAATAAAACTGCCATAAAACCCATGGTATAAGATTTCTACAGGAAAAACATACCAGTGCAGAAGGTCAATAAGACCACGCAAAAAAGGCATACCAACAGCTTCATTTTCACTTCCGTCCGTCCTCAGTTCGAAATAGCTGCACTTGAGTGTTTACCCATCTTATGAGGAGGAGAAATACAAGACAACGTCATTTAGAAGTTACCCCCACAGCACCTCTGCTTACAGGCCACCGGATAGGCTACAGAAGAAGACTCCTGGTTTCACATCTGGATGAGTCTGTAGTTACAGACATATTCCACAAGATGTCGCCTTTACTTTTACTTAAAGGGGTCATATGATGCGATTTCTGTTTTTCCTTTTCTTTAATGTGTTATGTAGCTATTTGTCCATGTATAAGATCTGCAGAGTTACAAAGCTCAAAGTCTCCCACAAAATGATGTATTCTATCTAAAAGAGAAGGCTGATCCAGACCGGGCTAAAACACCTCATTCAAACACGCCCCCTCATCTCTACGTCACGATGTGGAAATATTTGCGTAATGCCGCCCAAGCAGCCATGTCAGGGAGACGCTGTGTGTTTCTGTGCGAAAGCAAAAATTCTGTGTTGTATTTACAACAGAACAGCACAACCCAGATGTTCGAATTTGTGCAATGCATTTTATGGACGACAGTTTTGTGAACCTACAAGAGTAGCCTACAAGGCTGACTGTGCAAAGGCTATTTCTAAAATAAAAAAAGGGTCAATTCCGACTTTGCTATGACAATCTGGTGCTTATTCGTCAAAGTCTAGGTCTATTAATTGTTTTCACGTCACGTCACACCCTTATAGGAACGCCCACCTGGAGGGCAAAACGAAGCTTTGCTCCACTGACCGCCAGTTATTTTTACGCAGTTTGCATTAAGTAGTAATGTAGTAAAACGCAGATATTAAAAGGCGAAATTCAGTAAACACCTTATTGATTATGTATATTTTGTACAGGCAAGCAAATGAAGCCAGAATATAAAATATGTGCAAAGTTTCACGTTAAATGGTTTCCCATAGAAAACCATTAGAAGGAAAACACTGAACCATTAAGCGGATTGCGTTCATATTCCGGCCTCATCTGCTTGCCTATGCATCATTAATATAGAGAATACTGTTTTAAATATATTAAGGCACTTTAAGTGTTTTTACAACGTTTTTTTCGCACTGTTTAATGATTGAAATATTGCCGCGGTTGCTTAATGTGGATTGCAAATGGCCAAAACTTGCATTTTGTTTACATACCTTTGTTTTATTATTTTGAGAGGTGATCTAAATATTTGCGGCTGTGAAACAGATGTAAAATTGACAGGCTTGTCCTGCAGTTCTATGTTTTGCCCTCCCGGTCTTCGAGCCGGTCACGTGACTGAAAGCTATGAATAATAAAGAGATTGTCACCACCTAGCGGCATTTCCAGGAAACATGTCGGTCAAACCGGAAACCGTAGCAAAACTAGTTTGAGCTTGAACTTGCCCCAGATAAAAAAAAACATTTTAGAAGAGAACGCAGCATCACGGTTGTCTGAACCAATGAGCAATCTCACTGGTGTGCTGTGCTGCTGATAAACATGATATAGCCTAATTTCAGTTCTGTTACTTTTATATTAAAATAGATATGATAAACAAAAGACACCCAAAGTGCTTGCTATTTAATTCCACAGGAAAGGCGTATTTATCATCTATTTTTACATTCATACAAACATGTATTTTAGATTTTTATAGAAATATGACAACAATCACATATCTCACACAGAGATCGCACTGTCATAGTGTTTGGGAATATTCAGTTCATCTCAAACAAATTATGCATGATTAGGCTTGTTTGAGATGAGCAAAATCTGCGCAGAACCGACTGAAAAAACAGTCCCGCGCAGACCTCTACATTAAGCTGTGTCGTCAGTCAGTCGTTTCCCATCATGCTTTTGATCAGCGCAGTCGGTGAGATATATCCAGCTGCAGACCCGCAGCACCAGCAGTTTCAGAACCGCAGCCACAGAACCGGAA